TCCCCCCACCCCCACTGACTTCAAGTGTCTAGGGGTCATAAAATCATAAAATGCAAGAACTTGGAGGTCACCTAGTGGAAGCATCCAAAAATGCCAATGTTACTGGGAATCTCAAACCCACCGAGGAGGAAAAAAAGTGCCCAAGGTCAAACAGCTGCTGAATGGAAAAAACAAAAAACGAAACAAAAAAAAACCAGGTCTGCAGCTGCCCAGCAAAGAGCCATTCCCCACTCTCCAACACTGTATCAAAACAAAGTGCCCAGACAAGATATAAGCTTACTTCAAATAATACACTGAAGCTAAGGGAAAAAAAAAAAGAAAACTCACTAAATTATCTTTGCAAAGAAATAGGTTCTCAGTTCCATCCAGGGGGTCTCCACAAACGGACCAAAGAGTAATTAATAAGAATCAATGCCAGCAAACTTCCCAGATCATGTTTACACCATGGTACTAATCTCATAAAAACCTCAGCTTCTCACCCACACCAAGTCAAGGATAGCATGCTTTGAGGCCCCAAACCCCCTCTGACGCCATTAAATAATACTTTCTGGGTCCTGTGGCCAAGACAATTTCAAAGGCCCCCTTCACAGCCCCTCTCCTTTCAGAATCATTTCCAAAGAGACTGAAAAACCGGACATGGAACTTGACAGCATAATAACAGCAGATTTGCACATCAGACATGAACAGCCACCCACATGGGTGGAGGGGGAGCATGTGTGTAGATGTGTATGTGCCCTGATTCACTGCTATAATACATGAGCCATAAATGGCATTATTTCAAGCCAGGTAAGCAATGGAATGGGGAAGGCCTGCCTACATTAACAGGGGAGAAAAAAAAAAAAACGCAAAAAAACAAGTGTTATACAGACTAGCATCGCAGACATTTTTTTTCCTGGCTCTGCCAAGAGCTTTCTCAGAGGAAACAGAAATATAAAAATAATAGCAATCGCAATAATAACAGAAACCACCACTACCATCTGATACAGACAAGCAGTCATATCTCAAACTGAAATGTCACTTCCAGCTCATGTTTTCCATGCTCTCATCCCTTTCCATCTAGACATTTTTGGTTTTTGGTGATCAAATTTGGCACCAAAATTTGGTAACTCTTAATTTAGCACATTACAGACTTTCAGTTTGTTATGGGACTGTTTCAATTACAGAGACCTCTGATCTTAAAGTAACAAACAAGGGAGCAAACAATAACATCACCACTTTCTCATCAACCTTATCAAGTTATATTTAAAATATAGTTCAAGAACATCATTGCAAACGAGATTACCCCAAAGGAGCCATATCCAAATACTATTATTCCCAAGGTGAATAAAGAGCTGGGTTCGTGTGTGTGTGTGTGTGTGTTTGATGAGACAGACAAAATCCCCAAACTCAAATCCAGGGCTACAATCTTTGGGAAAGGGAGCCCAAATAGCTCCTGTCAAAGTCCTCTCTTGCCAGTTCAAAAAATCAGAGAATGCTTTTACATACTATTTCATGATTCCAAAGACACTAACATTTTAAATATCTTAAAGCTTTAAGGTTCAAGAAGTGTTTTAAATGTGGCTTCTTTCAAAATTGAACCCTGGAGAGCAAATTGAGATTCAAAGGACACAGTCACCAACTGCCAGCACAACAGACCCGTGTCACTTCCCAAATTCTTGCTGCTCATTAGAGACTAAAGAATCATTTTCCCTAAATCCATTCCTTGCATCGATTATTTTCTCTCTAAATATCCAGTGCAAAGACTGTCTTTCCCACGATTGCAAATATTCATCATGCTCTTCCACAAACGCTTTTCCCCTCAAACAAACCCAAATGCACTCCTGATGGCAAGAGAAAAATTTTGACTAAAATTCCCTGATGGAGTTTAAAGGTAGTCTTCAAGGAAATGAGTTGAGAAGACACCACAGACTGCAAAGCCACTGTTTAAGGACGCAGAGCTTGCTCCATGAACGCCACATAGATTAAAAATGCACATACGCATGCACACTTAAATAAAAAACATTTCTTCATCAACAATTTCACTCAAGCAATAGGCAACTTTAAGAAGGCACGGGCATTCTTAAAAGACAAGACACGACAAAAGATTTAGGGAGAGATAATATACCAACGTCATACATATCACAGCGAGGCCATGTTGAAGCTCAAAACGTTTTCCCCCCTGAGTAAGAAAGCTTGTTCTTTCTCTCTCTTTCCCTGTCTGTCTGTGATTTTTTTTTTTCTCGGTGGCTCTCGGGATGAAATCAAAGCGAGAGTTCGCGACAGCTCAGGTGGCAGATGTGTATAAGAGACAGGAGACAATTTTAAAAGGGCTAACCCATTTCAACAGCTAAATTACTAATGGAAGGGCTCATTCAAGACACCTCCTTAGCCTGAGGGGTTTTAGGTGGTGAAAAGAGGACTGGCATGGGTGATACCCATCCATCCCAGCATTTGTGAAATCCTTATAGGTCCTAGCACAAGGAGGCCATTCAGAACTGTGGAACTCAATACCGTCTTTCCTCATTCCTACCACCACACCCCGCACCCACACTCAGGAGTGTGCTCCCCCACACACCCCACCATGAACATACTGCCACACACCCTACACACATACATTCCCAGAGGCTTTCTGCCAAAGGTCTGTCAGGCTCACAGAGGATAAGGTATTTCATGACACTACTTAAGTCATAAACCGAGATCAAAGACTAGTCTCAGAGACCCCTGCTCCCCTTGGGGGGAAAAAAGTCAAAAAGCATTCCCTTATTGTTGTCCCAGTTTCCTTCCCAAATAACTAGGCAAAAAAAATCCCTTAGCTTAAACTTGTTATCCAGGCTCTACTACCAGATATCCTTCCCCTCCTCCCATCACCCTTTGATTAACATTTTGTTTTCCTTTTCACTTGTCTTTCCAGTTCATCTCCCCCCACCCCCACTGACTTCAAGTGTCTAGGGGTCATAAAATCATAAAATGCAAGAACTTGGAGGTCACCTAGTGGAAGCATCCAAAAATGCCAATGTTACTGGGAATCTCAAACCCACCGAGGAGGAAAAAAAGTGCCCAAGGTCAAACAGCTGCTGAATGGAAAAAACAAAAAACGAAACAAAAAAAAACCAGGTCTGCAGCTGCCCAGCAAAGAGCCATTCCCCACTCTCCAACACTGTATCAAAACAAAGTGCCCAGACAAGATATAAGCTTACTTCAAATAATACACTGAAGCTAAGGGAAAAAAAAAAAGAAAACTCACTAAATTATCTTTGCAAAGAAATAGGTTCTCAGTTCCATCCAGGGGGTCTCCACAAACGGACCAAAGAGTAATTAATAAGAATCAATGCCAGCAAACTTCCCAGATCATGTTTACACCATGGTACTAATCTCATAAAAACCTCAGCTTCTCACCCACACCAAGTCAAGGATAGCATGCTTTGAGGCCCCAAACCCCCTCTGACGCCATTAAATAATACTTTCTGGGTCCTGTGGCCAAGACAATTTCAAAGGCCCCCTTCACAGCCCCTCTCCTTTCAGAATCATTTCCAAAGAGACTGAAAAACCGGACATGGAACTTGACAGCATAATAACAGCAGATTTGCACATCAGACATGAACAGCCACCCACATGGGTGGAGGGGGAGCATGTGTGTAGATGTGTATGTGCCCTGATTCACTGCTATAATACATGAGCCATAAATGGCATTATTTCAAGCCAGGTAAGCAATGGAATGGGGAAGGCCTGCCTACATTAACAGGGGAGAAAAAAAAAAAAACGCAAAAAAACAAGTGTTATACAGACTAGCATCGCAGACATTTTTTTTCCTGGCTCTGCCAAGAGCTTTCTCAGAGGAAACAGAAATATAAAAATAATAGCAATCGCAATAATAACAGAAACCACCACTACCATCTGATACAGACAAGCAGTCATATCTCAAACTGAAATGTCACTTCCAGCTCATGTTTTCCATGCTCTCATCCCTTTCCATCTAGACATTTTTGGTTTTTGGTGATCAAATTTGGCACCAAAATTTGGTAACTCTTAATTTAGCACATTACAGACTTTCAGTTTGTTATGGGACTGTTTCAATTACAGAGACCTCTGATCTTAAAGTAACAAACAAGGGAGCAAACAATAACATCACCACTTTCTCATCAACCTTATCAAGTTATATTTAAAATATAGTTCAAGAACATCATTGCAAACGAGATTACCCCAAAGGAGCCATATCCAAATACTATTATTCCCAAGGTGAATAAAGAGCTGGGTTCGTGTGTGTGTGTGTGTGTGTTTGATGAGACAGACAAAATCCCCAAACTCAAATCCAGGGCTACAATCTTTGGGAAAGGGAGCCCAAATAGCTCCTGTCAAAGTCCTCTCTTGCCAGTTCAAAAAATCAGAGAATGCTTTTACATACTATTTCATGATTCCAAAGACACTAACATTTTAAATATCTTAAAGCTTTAAGGTTCAAGAAGTGTTTTAAATGTGGCTTCTTTCAAAATTGAACCCTGGAGAGCAAATTGAGATTCAAAGGACACAGTCACCAACTGCCAGCACAACAGACCCGTGTCACTTCCCAAATTCTTGCTGCTCATTAGAGACTAAAGAATCATTTTCCCTAAATCCATTCCTTGCATCGATTATTTTCTCTCTAAATATCCAGTGCAAAGACTGTCTTTCCCACGATTGCAAATATTCATCATGCTCTTCCACAAACGCTTTTCCCCTCAAACAAACCCAAATGCACTCCTGATGGCAAGAGAAAAATTTTGACTAAAATTCCCTGATGGAGTTTAAAGGTAGTCTTCAAGGAAATGAGTTGAGAAGACACCACAGACTGCAAAGCCACTGTTTAAGGACGCAGAGCTTGCTCCATGAACGCCACATAGATTAAAAATGCACATACGCATGCACACTTAAATAAAAAACATTTCTTCATCAACAATTTCACTCAAGCAATAGGCAACTTTAAGAAGGCACGGGCATTCTTAAAAGACAAGACACGACAAAAGATTTAGGGAGAGATAATATACCAACGTCATACATATCACAGCGAGGCCATGTTGAAGCTCAAAACGTTTTCCCCCCTGAGTAAGAAAGCTTGTTCTTTCTCTCTCTTTCCCTGTCTGTCTGTGATTTTTTTTTTTCTCGGTGGCTCTCGGGATGAAATCAAAGCGAGAGTTCGCGACAGCTCAGGTGGCTGGACTCCATTCAGCGCGTTCCCAGGAAAAACATGAGTATGACATTGACAAGCAGGAGGACTACAATCACGGCAAAAACGACTACAGTTTGCACATCCAGGGTCATGGTGCAATGCAGAACACTGTAGTGTTCCAGGTGGGGGGCCGGCAGATTGGGAGATGTCAGTCTCTGTTCTGTCAGACTGTCCATACAGCCACCATGCTAGAAAGGAGAGGAGGAAGTAGGATGGTTAGGGAAGGGCTGGGTTTGGCGCCCGAGTTTAGTCGGGGGGAGGGGAGGGGGATGGGGATGGGGTGCTTGGTTTCCCCCTTCTCAGGATTGGGCTGATCTTTCGTCCCTAGCTGAGAAATCTTAGCTTGCGCTGAAGTCGGCAGAGTCCAGCATTCTCTCTCGGGCGCCACGGGAAAGGCAAAATCCTAGCTTTCAAAGGGAAAGGCGGGGGGAACCTGTGAGTGGTTCTCCGGCGCCTGCTCAGTCTGTCCGGGCGTGCGTCCGTCCGCCTGCCTGGCTACCGGTCAGTCTCAGTCTCCCCTACTCCCTTTAGTTCGCTCGCTTTCCTAAGCTTGCTCGCTCTCTTCGCTGGGCTCCCGGCTGCCAGACACTCCTTCGATCCCTGCCTTGCTGGCCCTATCCCTCTTCTCTCCCCATCCCCCGCTCATCCCGTAGGCTGCCTTTTTATTCACCGAGCGACTGCGGGCGCTTGCGTGAGGCGCGGCCAGAGCCACTGACATACCCGCCGACCAATAACAGGTGCCGCAGTAGCACGTTCGCTGCCCAGGGGCGGGACTTGCGCTGGCGTGCTAGCCGCGACCGCCAATCAGAGGGCTCAAGGCTCCCAAGCAAGCTCGCTCTCTCCAGATCGGCGAGAGTCACCAGGCACCAGTTTTGGTTTGGGGGTGGGGAGTTTCTTGGGGGCGGATAGAGGGGGTATATAAGGAGATGGGGGAGGAAAAGAACTGGGAAAGAGGGAGGGAAGGGACCCAATAGGATGCAAAGGAAGGAGATCACGTGAAGAGGGAGAAAAAGAAGAAAACACGAGGAGGAAGGAGAAGAGAGGGAAGATAATGAAGAAAGAGAATTGTGGGGAAAGGCAGAAAAAAGGATGGGAAAAAAAAAAAAAGAAGGAATGGGGGGGGAAAGGATAGGTAGCTGTGGAGAAGGCATGTACCTAGCAGCCACTTTGAGCCTGGGCCAAGGAGGAAGCAAAGGTGCCTTTGGCCACTGCCTAAGAATTTACAGGCAACTCACAATTAGCTATAAAAAGCTAACAAACCAGTGTTGTGGACATAATCACAGGGACACACGACAGAATTTCCAAAATCCAATTCTATTTGGCTTTCCCTGATACCACTGCCCTTACCTCGTCAGATTTCCTGTCTTAATTATTGTTTCTTCAGACTAGGACAGTTAGCTTGCACTTTTCCAGCATTCTGGGTACTATGAAGGGAAGCCAGCATAGGGTTAAACATTTGCCATGGAAAATCCTCTATAGAACTTGCAATCTGCTTGTAATCATTACCCTGCTCTGTGACCTGGTATCTGGAGCTAAGCGAGGATAAGCCATGGAGTGGAGACCAGAAGGTTTCAAATTTACTCTCAGCCTTACCTCAAGCTTGCTGTATGACTTTTGGGCAATTCCCTTTTCCTCTCAGGGGTCTGTCTTCTGTCTCCCTGTTGTCAATGAGGACTCAGACTTATCTGAGAATTCAGTTAAACCTCAGAACCCTCACCTCAGAAAAAAACAATTTCAGTGGTTCCCTGGGCCTTCAAACCAAGGACTCCCTTACACAGGAGATCTCTCAGAGCCTTTTTGCTCTTATATTAGAGGATTATATGACTGAACAGTAGGTATATACCTAAGAAAAATGAAAACACGTCCACACAAAAACTTATACATGAATGCTAATAACAGCATTATTCACAACAGCCAGAAGATGGAAACAATTCAAATGTCCAACAACTGATGAATGGGTAAACAAAATGTGGTATAGCCATACAATGAAGCATTATTTAACCATAAAAAGGAAATGAAATACTGATACATGCTACAACATAGATGAGCTTTGAAAACATGCTAAGTGAAAGAGGTGAGCAAAAGGCTTTTGTATTATTCCATTTATAGAAAATATTCATATAGTTAGGGTAAATACTGTTTCATGATGCTTTCGTTTCAGTTATATACAAATATAAATGTACTGGCCTGTGATGTGAAATGTATTTCTTATAGCAAGTAATACTCAAAACAGTTTGAAAACTACTCTTCTAGATTATGTTGAGACAGATACTGGTGATCAGGACAGTACCATAATATAAGCCACTACAATCTGTCTACTCGTCTTTGAAAGCTCAGTCTTATCCTGTCTCTATTTCCTCACTATCTTTTGATCCCTCAACCCACTGCATCCTGGCTTTACCCTCATTATCCTATAGAAAACTGAATCCTCTTGTGAATAGAAAAAAAAAAAAAAAAGTGTTACTAAATCTCATGGCCAAGTTTCAATCTTTACCTTTCCTAACTTTTCTCGCATTTGACTCCACTGATGCCTTCCTCAATCCTGAAATGCTCCTTTTCCTTGGGAACACCATCCACGTGACCTGTATGTTTATGCTGTCTTCACTTCCTGCATGGGTTCTTCTTCATCCAGTCATTAATGCCATGATTTCTCAGAGCTCTTCTGATCACAGTCCCCTTTTCTTCTCATTCTGCATTTGCACTAAATGGGCTCATCTACTTCTAAGGCTTGAACTACCATCTACATTGCACATTGATGCACCTCCTTTCAACAAAATTACAACACCACTGGGAAACAAAGCAGACATAGGACCTTGCTTGCACATAAGCAGAGAGCTGCTGCTGACTCCAAGGTAGCTCTCCTGGACCCCAAAAATGAAGGTCCTACTGCTTTCTGGATATCTCCTCCTTAATATCTTACAAGCATATCAAACTTAAAAAGTCCCAAATTGAAGTCATCTCCTCCCACTCTTGCCGATTTCCTTCTTCCCCTGAGTCCTTTGTCTCTTGGGAATGGCAGTCACACACTGAACTAGCCAGAAACCAAGAAAATATCTACAAGTTTTCCTCTCCCTCACCTCACTGATGGCCAACTAGTCTTTTAGTCCTGTTGATTCTCTTCCTCCTTAATCTCTCTGATTTGTCCCTTTCTCTCTCTCTCTGCTGTCACTACTTTTAATCAGTTCCTCATCATCTCTGATCCATCATAATTCATTACCTGTTCTCTTGTGCTGCTCTCCCTCCCCAATTAAGCCTCTACTCTTCGGCCCCAATTCTTTCCTCAAAAGCAGTTTTGCTCTTCTCAATCTTGTGGTAGATACTCTGGATTGGTTTTTAAGGATCCACTCCTTCTAGCCTGCCTTCCTATATTGCTGAAAAGCTAAAAACCAAAAAACTGCAACAACAATAAACTGGCATTTCCAAGATTCCCTTGCAGCCAGCGTTCTGGATATGACATAGTGATGCCAATCATATACACATGCACAATATTTAGAAGGAGGTGGTTGGTAAGGCATAAGTCATGTCTCTGTTGCTTCTGTTGGAAAGCACAATGGTGAAAGTGTTGGGGATTTTTGTGTGTGTTACCATAGGTTCCAGTGTCTAGCCACTGGCTTTGTGCATTCCGAGAGCCAGAGAATGGGACTTTTTTTTTGTTACTGAGGATCTGGTAGGCATAGTGATACTCTAGCCAACAGATGGTTAGGGCTGTGGCAGCTTCCTCATTCCTAAATTGCAGACAAGGCAGCATGCTCCTAGAGCCCCTGACGCCTCATCTTCCTGCTTGTCAGAGAGAGAGAGCAGCTACCCTGACATTGTTCTTGGAGACATAGCCTAAAGCTTGCCCCTCCAGCCCTCCCACCAATTTTGTAAGCACTTTATTTTCTATATTAAAACCCCTTCTGCTGAAAAGAACTACAGTGGTTTATTTTTGCAGCTGAAATCTGACTTATATAACGCCTCTGTTCAAAGGCCTTCAATAGCTCCTCTGCGCATTTAAGGCAAATTCTGTAGTGTGGCATAAAATGTCCTGCCAATCTGATGTCCTTTGGCCTCTGTATCCTCAGCTCTTACCAATGCCCTCTCATTCTCTATTCTCTAGCTACATAGAACCTATGGTAGTTCTCATAACTCATGAGATTCTCTTGCCTCAGGACCTATATAAACTGCTGCTTTATTTCTCCAGCTCCCCATCTCAAAGCTCAGCTGAGGTGCCACCACCTCCAGAAGGCTTTCTCTAATGTTGTCTTCCTCAAAAATATTCTGAATGATAGTCCTCTCCCATAGGATCCTATGTTTAACCCTCTTGAAACATTTATTAAACTGTATTGTATTTTTTTCTTGTCTGTATCCTTTACTGGACTGTGAAGCTAGGAGGGCAGAGACCATGACTGTCTTGTTCACTGCTTTCTCCCTTTGTGCCCAGCACAGTGCTGTACACTTAGGTGCTTCATAACAAACATCTGTTGGATGCATGAATGTCTCCTTCATCCACTGGTCTCCACTCAAAGACTCATATCTTCCAACCACAGAAGGCAAGACCTGATGGAACCACAGAGAAAAATCTAAGCCCTTATATTCCAGGTTCACAGAGAAGGGATGCAACTTGTCCAAGATTACACAGCTAATTGCTGGCAGAGTGGGAACCAAAGCCCTTGTATCTTAAGTCTCAAAAGTACTTTTGGGAGATTTCAGACCCTGAAACATGGCATTTGATACCAGCCCTGTCCATGTGTGGGTAGCTTTCTGAGTTATATGAACATTCAACTTTGCTCACAATTTTTTTTAATAGACGAGTCCTCTACATTTGGAGTAGCAATACCCCCTCCCAGATATATCCCTTCTTGCTGACAAGTCTCAAGGAATTAGATAATATCTTGGTCTAGCACAACTCCGGTTCCATCCTGCCATCCCTTCTGCAACATCCTCGCTAAGTAGTTATCCAGTCTCACTCCAACACCTACAATAATGGGGCAGTTGCTCCCTCCCAAGACAGCCCGTTCATCTTTGGGACAATCTCAGATGGCAGAAAGTTATTCTATCTCTTTGAGCCAGATGTCACTACTTTTACCACAGCCAGGGCTGAGGAGCTAATCACTGCATGAGAGGGTCTGGAATAATAATGCCCTCAAATTCACACTAGTTCTCGGGTCTGAAAGGCAGTTCAACAGATTATGATAATGATAGTTAACACTTACAAACTGCTTACTCTGTGCCAGGCACTGTTTGAAGTCCTGTACATACATAAACTCTTTTAATCCTCACAACAACTCTATGAGGTAGGTACTATTATTGTCCTTATTTTGTAGATGAGGAAACTGAGGCAGAATGAAGTTAAATAATTTGCCTAAGGTCACATGGCTAGTAAGTATGGAGCGCAGATGTAAACTCAAATTGTCTAGCTCTAGAGTCTGCTATTAAACACTATTCTATATAAATGTCAATAGGTGACACATGTCCCATCTTTCAATAACATCTGACATGATGTCTTCTAGGTTACAGGAATAAAGTGTTTCAGTGTCCTGATCTGGGCCCCAGTGGCCTACCTCCCAAACCCAAGATCCCTAGTTCTCAAATCTTTTCCTTCTATCGGGGAAAAAAAACACAATTCCTAGTTGTCCTTTGCTTCTCATGTTTTGAATAGTTCCCAAAGACCCACTTCTGC